GGATAACCCCTAGATATTGTACAGGCCCAGCAGTTTGGACACTGGAGTTGCATTGTGCAAGTGTTTGCAACATTCAGAAGAGGTGAAGAATGAGCATATGGGGGCATGGCAAAGAGCGGTGCTCTGTTGATCTGTTAACAATCTGATGAAGCTTAGTAGTTCATAATAAAAGTATTTAAAAGCGTGATGAATGTTCCTTTCTCCTGAATCTGTGTCATTTCTGAATAGAAATGTCATGAGTCATTTCTTAATGGAGACTATAATGTGTCTGTTACATCATCTGCCATAGATCTCCATCTCCCTCCAGCCATTTTTGGGACAGCTCTTCCTGTTAGCCTGCACAATTTAAAAGAAATGCTGGAAACCAAAACACTAAAGAGCAAAACTAAGGTATTCACAAAATCATTTAATGGTCTGAAAGAACAGGTATATAAAGGTCTGAAATTGCTGATCTGGAGTACTTTCAACCAGAAGAATGTGAACCCAGTGCCAATTGTAATCAGATCTTCTGCCTACTAAAGAAAGGCAGAACAAGTGAAAAACAGGAAAGAGCTGATCAATGCGAAGAAGAAAGTGTAGCCCTGATAAATGCAGTCACCAGATGAATACATTGTCAATCAATCCATCATCCATCCATTTTAGGAAGGCTGCCCATGAAAATGTTGCAACTTAGCAGAGTAACAGCTTTTAAAAGGGTAACTATGTTCGGGTTGGCTCCAACTTTTGTAGGAGCAGAAGTCTAGAAGGGCACTTTTGCTCCTACAACAGGATGCGCCTGTCTTTCGTTCCTCTTGCTGCCCTAATCCCACAGGAGGAGGTTTGGAGTGGTGTGGAGAACTGCTGTGGTGAGGGGAAATCAATTCTACTAGCAGATGTAAAGCTCACTGTTCCCTTTAAGAGAATCGTAGGAAATGATCATCTAGCAAATGTGAAAGCAAAACTTAGCAAAGATTCCCTCAGAGGCTGGTTGTTCTGGCCTGAGTGTTTTGCTGAAATCTTTCATGCACTGGATGTCTTAATAAATGTTAATGGATGCAGAATACATGGATATGTCTAAATATTTGTCTAAATGCAATCATAAGTAGCAAACATCACAGGATCCAAGACTTACTCTGCTGCAGTAAAAACAAAGAAATGGCACTTATTTATTTAGTTAGTTAGTTTGGGATACGCTAGCATCTGCATCATCAGGTTCATGAAGTGCTCCTTCAACTGGCAGGTCCTTCTTCATCACAAATCCGTGGTTTTCATCAAGTCTGCTGTATGTCACACTGAATTTCCATTCTTGGAAGAGTCTAAGAACTGGGACACAGCTAGCTTTCTAAACACTGTAGTCTTAGATTTTGGACCACCTTTTAAAAGCTGCATGGACTACCATTCTTGGCCCAATTCAAAAAGCTAGTGCTAGTCTTGGAAGGAGTGCCTTCTCCCATATGCCCCAAGTACTGCAGAGTAGCCCCTTTGCCCACACATATCCATTATTGTGGAACAATGGTTGAGGAACAATTAGTAACCATGAACTTTAGGGCCTTCTGGGTTATAGCACTGCTGTTAAGGAACTTCTTCTACAACAAGACTTACTATTTATTTAATTATTTATTTATTTAAAGTTTTTGTATGCCATCCCCTTGCTACATAGCCTTGGAACGGCTCACACAAATAAATAAATATAATACAAATACAGTTAAAACCTGGAAACACCCCGGCTGCACAATTAAAACCTATAAATATTAAACATTGTTAAACTATTGTTTGAATAAAAAGGTCTTAGCCTGGCGCTGAAAAACAAATAACGACGGTGCCAGGTGGACCTCTCTGGGAAGCGCATTCCACAGATGGGGAGCCACCGCAGAGAAAGCCCTCCTCCGGATACTTTGCCTCCTACTGTCTTTCATGGAGGGTTCCTGGAGGAGGACCTCTGCTGCCAATCTCAGGGTACGGGAAGGCAAATATGGCTAATTACTTGACTGATTACTTGGCTGATTTTCTTCCACAATTTAGAAAATAGGTAAAAATTGACCTTTTCTGGAGGTTTTTCAGTGTGGTCTTTTGTCCAGGAAGTTTCAGGAGTATTTAAGAAACCTACTTTAGAACATGATCGTATAGGGCTGGAGCTCTGCATTTGGGTATGATTTTGTTCAGAGATTTCTGAAATTTTAACCTGGCAGTTCAGCATGCTAACCACTACACCACATTGTATTAAATATTATCTTCAGTTTGGTATGTGGGGTGGGGGAAAGACGGGGGTGCACCAGAGATTACGGGACATACATGCATAATTTTTGATTAATAGAAAATAAAGCATACTTTTTCACTTTCTAAACATTTCTATTATTTTTGTTAACCTAAAATTAATACAAAGTTAAATACTGAAAGCTGCAAATAATAACCACCAAGATGATTGAGATCATCCTGTAAAATAACTAGATAGGTATATCTTGAATATCACCTGTGTATATTCTTGCACTAGGTATAGTCTTTCCCAAATACAGCCTCTGAGCATGTGGAAATGCCAACACAACTCTTCTTTAAGCCAGGTCTAACTTGAGCATAATCTCAAGGTTTGTACAGCAGAGCACAGGAACTGACTCCCCATAATCAGAGATGCTAGACCAAGACTTTTCAGATACTGAGTATCATCTTTACACAAGTAGTGAGAAAAGACCATCAATAAGATAGAGTACCATGTCTGATTTAAAAACAAAAATCAGACATGGTACACCCCTCCCCAACAATTTTGCCATTGACTTCACCCAGCACCCTGGAAAGATCTTTCTTCTTAATACAAACAGATGGGACATATTGAACTTTAATAAAAATGCAAAGTCTCTTTAATACAGCAGGATGTAATGGTCACCCAAAAGGGCACAGAAAGCATACATGAAACATAGCCCTTCTGGGACCTGTCTTTCCAGATCCGCAGTGAGTTTTCTCAGGCAACATCCTGCACCATTACATCATCTGAGAATGCCAGGTCTAGACTACATCTTTCTGTAAGGCCAGAGAAATCCTTCAACAGCCCTGTGCAGTCCAAAGAGTAAGAACAAATTAGCTATTATAAAATAGCAGATTACTCTTTTGGGGGGGAAAGGTCTGAAAAGGCATCTGGTTGGGGCTAGCACTGCACCTGTCTGAAAAAAATAACAAGACCAGTTCAAATATTATGAATCTACACAAGCTATGTTTTCATCGCCCGTGTCATCTTGCTTGTTAGATGAAAGGGCTGCAGGCAATATGCCATAGATCTTGTTTTTGTGAATGCCAACCTCTCTCCTGAACTTTAGAACTCCAAATGCCCATGGTAGAATAAGTAGCATAATATGACAACGCTGTGTCATACGATATAGGTATTGCTAATATGCACAGACCTAATATGCATATTCCTAGCAACCAATGGGAAATTGACCATTTACATTCTCAGTATTCTTCTTCTGTTAGAGTCACTTAAAGAGTAAGTATATACCAAAGACCTAAGTCAGCTATATTGCTAAAGGCCCTATCCTATGCATGTTTAGATGGAAGAATTCTTTCAACCCAGACAACATGGCTAGATGGAGCATACTGGGAATTGTGGGACTTTTTCTGTCTAAACATGTATAGGAATGTGCCCTGAGATAATAGGGAGAAGGCCCAGTCTTCTTCAGTTACAGTCTCCCCAGCTTGCTGAGGAGAACCAGAACCAGAACCAGAACCAGAACCAGAACAGGAGGAAAAAGAGCTGGAATTAACAGAGGCCTCTAAACGATCAAGGTCACCATGCCAGATTATTTAGCTAGAGCAAGAGGGAGACACCATAGAGCAGAGAAGGTAGAGATTGCTCAGTCCCCATATGAAGGCGTCAGGCCAAGAGAGCAGACCAGTTAAGTGTCATTTATCTATCTAGCTCTCAGGCAGCATGAGCCACCCTGAGGATAAGGCCAAGTCCTTTCTGAAAACGGAGGGAGGGAGGGAGAGAATGTTCCAGTTTAGATTCAGCTCCACAAATGGGCAAACAGTGCTCTCATGTCTCAGATCATCACTTGGATGTATGATGTCTGTAGACCCGCAGAGCTCAGTTTAAAGAAAATAAAGTGTGCTTCTAAAATGTTGCCAAAATATGGTAAATAGGAACAAGCAGGAGAGCGGTGAGACCTGCCCCCAACAAAGGTGGCCCTCCGTGGATCTTGGGAAATTACAGCCCTGTGAGAATGTCTAAGGAATTCTATTGTTTAAAACCCTTTTTTTTAAATCCTTGGAACTCTCCATGAAACAATACTCATTATCCCTAAGGTAATAATCATTGGAAAGTTAAAATTCCCAGGATTCCTTGAGAACTGGCTTAGTTTGTAGTGCAGATATATCCACAAGTTCTATCAAGGCTGTGCAAAGATACCACTGCATGTAAGTGGTATCCTACAGGAAGTGAACCTTCAGGAAGTGAACCAACTATGCATACTAACATCTCAAATACACAACTTGAGTTAACTTAAGAACTTTTTAAAAGGTGCTTCTTTAAAAAAAAGTTGAGGTCAAAACAACATGTCCTACAGGGGTCATATAGTGCATTCCTCTTAGGCTGCTTTCTGTGGGATGGATTCTAAAGTGGCAGCTTTGAGAAGTCACAGGAAAGTTTTGTGCTGCCAGATACAACATTATGCCCACTTTACATTCACTTACACATAAGTAAGTCAATGCAGCCACAAAGCGCTAACAGCCTTTTTTGCTCCAGAATATACAGAAGAAGAATATCTTTCACATAAACATACTCAGAAGCAAGAGAGGGTCAGATGGCATCTCTCACTTTTCGCTTTTCTGTTTCTTATTTCTTACAAGGAAAGGAAAGGAAGGCCTGATCAGGCCTCACAATAGAGTCCCTTCATTTCACATAATGCCCTTGGAAGGTGTAATTCTCACCCTACTCAAGCCACTATATATATATATTCTTCCAGTTTCCAGCAGTGGGTATCATCAGTAGGTTCATCTGCACATAAGAAAACAGAAAAGGTAAAAAGTATCTTTACCTTTACCAGGTAAGCTTGGCAGTCACTGACATAATCATACTCTAGTCCATCAAAGGTATAATAATGCCGATCTCCATAGACAGTACATACAGCAGGACAAGGATAGTACGTGCAATTGAATATCCCACGTCGACAAACACTGTGATGGGAGACAATCAAGATCCTTTGACTAAACAACCTTTGTGAGCTGAAAACAGGGATGCATGTGCTCTTGCTATGGAACACAGACTGAAGGGAGAATTTGCAACAGTATAGTCTTCAGAGAGAGGGCAATGTCAGATTACAGAATGTAGGAGAGCAATTCTCTCCCTAAACCAATGAATTTACCATTTGTTTTGCATGCTTCTGATGGTAAGCACAATATGCAAAAATAAAAAGTACTTTCAGAGAGGTTTGAACAGAGACTGCATCAGCAATTTTAATAAAGGCATGTCACTTCACCAGCATTTTTAATGGCATTGTAGTATAAACAGTGAAAATTGTATGTCAATTGGCATATATTACACCCAGACTCATCCATGGCATATACCATCAGACAAATCCCATAAATGGATTTGTAGAAGCATAAAAATCAAAGTGCTTTGCTTTGTTTTATTCACCTGACACAGTGAATTTATTTATTTTATTAATTTATTGTTACATAATTACAGGAGAGTCACATTAACCAACTATAAGAAACAGTTAAACTTTGTGGCCAAAAGCTATTTCAGCTCTACTCACAGATTCTTTAAAAGTAGTAGCTGCACCAACAAATACCATTGGAAAATGAAGACAGTCTATAAACCCTACAGTATTTTTTGTTAAGGCTCCATTTTTAAGCTATTTTCATTGTTAGCCCATTCATCTATTTTCTTAAATGTTTGATGACTTCCTTCCTATTTTATTACATTTTAAAATGTTATGCTGTTTATTATTGATCATGCTACACAAATCAAAGGTTAAAGATATTACATTGTGCAAAATGCAATCCTAAAATTAGTTAAGACATTAAGAACTGTACTGAAGTAACAGGCATTTACCATGTATAACAGGGAGTAGTTATCATGTCACCTGACATGTATTCCCAGTCTTTCCAAGTACAGGGACAACTGTCAGGCACATAACATTTTCCTTTATGTTCTGCCATCCTTGAAAGGAACAAAAACATGTGATTGAAACTGGAGCCCATTCATAAATATTTTCAATTATCTGTTCATATAAGCTACACAGTTCTGAAACAACTATTGGTTGTTTCACAATGGCATTGTAAGTTTAGTTTAGTCCACCACTATCTCATTGTCTACCATAATTTACCAGTGATGATCTTGAACAATGATCCTAGAGAGCTTAACAAAAAAGAAACCCACTGTAGTCATTTTTAACCAACTTCATCATTTATATTTAGCTGCTTACATGATATATTCCCCATTAGGAAAAAAAATGATAGCTCTACATTTTCCCTCATTGAACCAATCATTCTTTGGGTGAAGGGGAAAGCAGAGTAAAACAGAAACTGACACAGGGAAAATGGCTAGCAGAGAAATCCTATGGTACCCAGAAAGCACCTGCGGTGTCACCTTCAAATAAGGTGATCTGATGGTGGATCTCCCCTGCTCCTACCCAGAAGTCTTCCACAAAGGCTCCTTTCTTGTAGCTGGAACTCCAAGAATGGAGAGGTGGCTTGCTGGTGGGAGAGCAGGAGCCACCAGATTCACAGCTATTTCCCTGAAGCGCATAGTAGACTGGCTCATGGACTTGTTTAGCAATATCTACAGTAAAGGCAGACAAGGCTGCAAAACTTCTTCCTTTCCTCCTGTCCTGCCAGGCCTTCACCAGAAGGACTAAGGTGGGCAAAGGCAGCAGTGCTGGAGCTCTCCATCTCTGGGGCAATAATGCTATAGCCTCGTACGACACACTTGACCGCCACAAGTACCACAATCCGGCTTGTAGAGAGACCGAAGAATTCCTTACAGATATACAGTGTTGCATCTAATTTGGCTGTAACATCATGAGTTGTACAAAGCAAAATTAGAGATAACTTTCCTGATATTGCAAGGATATAGGTTTTGTATGTAACTGTAATGACACTTTTATAGAAAGAAGACTTTGACATTGCTGGATTTACTGGTTTGTCCATGTGTAGTAAGGTCTTTCCAAATCACTACTGCCGCTACTACTGATGATGATGATGATGATGATGATGATGATATAAAATCAAAAAACAAAATTATGTCCTGCATTCTATTCTTTGCATTATATTAATGTTAGCTATCGCACAACACATTGCCACAAGAGGACAACTTTTTGAATTTTGTTTTGTTTTGTTTTTCAAAAAAACAGAAACATGGGAGTTCCAGTTCTAGATAGGTTTCATGAACAACATCCAAGGAAATAAAACTAAAAAGATCTTTGCAAAACATTATCTAGTCAGGAGGGGACAGCTTTGCTGCTGTCCTAAGCCTTTCTTGTTGTTTCTAATGGAGTTCACGAGTGCTCTGAGGTCTCTATGTGTAATATGGTAGCTGAAAAACTCAGCTGAAGGAAAACAAACCCAAAACATAAAATACATATTTGAGAAGACTCCAAAAATGGTGCAGACATGGGATGTATGAATGGATTTGTACCTATAAACCTGCCCCCTGAAACTTCTCACCACACAATATTATCCAGAGAAAGAAACATTAATTAAATTCTTAAGTACAGTTTCCTGGTCCAGCACTCTAGCCCTTGGAAGCACTTACCCAGGGGGACAAACACAACCACTCACACATGGTGGAGACGGAGCACAGGTGAAGTTCATGGCAAGGTTTGTACAAGATAGCTCACAGTTTACTCCAGCAGATGGCAAGCCAGGCACATGAGATCGGCAGTCATAGTAAATCTTTTCTTCAGGGCATGGATGAACTACAAATATGAAATGCAAACTGTTATACATGAGATCAGCAGATGCTTAAGCATACTCCTTGAAATCAGTTGGACTTAGAAGTGCTTATCTTTGCTGCTGTTTTCAACAATATCCATCAATAGCATAGTGTGCTAACTACATTGAAATATTTTTATTTATACAATACTTTTAAGTGATTAAAATCCTGCAACTCTTTTAGTTACACTGTGGATTAAAACAGCTCAAAATTGTTTGAGATTGGCAGAGCTTTACAAATCAGAGATAAATACTGAGACTTTGAAGTAGCACTTGACAAAAAACTTCTTATGTGTAAACGTATACATATTTGAAGTGAATATTGCAGGCATCTGTTAATTTCCTACACATGCTAAATTGTTGATCAGCCTTTTTCTGTTCACATCAGACAAGCTGGGATATGAGAAACCCTACAATATTGTACAATTAAATACCAAAGTAATGTATATTATAAAATAAATTAGCAAATACAAATCATATTTAGATGAATAAAATAGATTTTACATTTGCTTGACAACCACTGAGACCCAAGAATTTGACAAGGTTACATCTATACAGATTAATTGTGCAAATGCACACTTACACAGCAATTCTATGGCCCCTAAGATCTCTGACATCAGAGGAAGACATCTGTCTGTGAATCTTCTCTTTGCTCCTTTGCTTCTCCCAGCTGACACATGCCAGGTTACACTGATGGGTGTGACAAGGAAGGGAAAGGAGAGGAAAGCCCAAGGATCTGCTAGGTCCTAATACCTGTCAGGCCTCCAACAGAGTGCAACACCTAGACATGTTCTGAGGCATCTAGCAAGAATCTTTTTGAAGACGGTGGGATTGGAAAAGCCTGTGCCACTCATCCTGTCTTGCCTGGCTCTTGCAAGCAGGCCTTGGAGTGGAACTGAGTCTTCTGTCCATCAGGCATCAATCTTATAGACTGCACCTTAAGACTACAACATTAATCTTACTATTTGAAATTAAATACAGCTTGGGGAACGAATGAGAAAAGAAATGACCAGACTTGCAATGGTGATGAACAAATCTGAAGTATAGCTAGTTCCTTACAAATATCACCAAAACTGGATAAACATAATAGATTATCTTTATTATTAGATTATTAGATTACTTCTTATCTCGCTTTTTCTCTCTCCCAAGGCATATAGTCCTTCCCCTTTATATTTTATCCTTACACCATCCTGTGAGCTGGGTTACAGTGAGAATCAATGACTAGCCCAAAGTTACCCAGTAAGCTTCTTGGCTGAGTGGGGACTAGAACCTGGATCTCTTGAGTCCCAGTCTAGCATTCAAACCATTATGCCACACTGAACTGTGTTCACTGATTTAAGGAGGCTACGGCGAATGGGGCGGCATAAAAATGTTTTAATAAAATAATAAAAAATAAAAATAAAAAATAAACAAGAATGACTGCTCAGGGCCACCTAGGAAATCCATAGATGAGCAGAGCTTTGAATCTGCTCTTCCTGAATCTACAAGAAAGTTGATTGAACAGTATTTGAGAACTCCTCTTAAGAAACATAGGGAATTACCTGCAGGAACTTCAGCAACTTCAGCACATTTCATAGTTCCATTGAGACACTGGCTAGTCAGTATACAGGAAAAACATACATTTTAATAGATTAATAGATACAGATATAGATATGTAAGTATGCAACCCTAAAGTTCAACAGTAAAAATAGTAATTATTTATCATGTGAGTTACTCTCTCCCCCCATCATTCATGTTCATCCACTGAGCCCTCCTGTTGTGTGGTGCTGCTAGTTAACAGCAGATTGATCACAGAAGGGCCATATTCATTCACAATGTAATCTGGTGTTACTGAGACATGGGTGGCTCAGCTGGGTTGAGCTGACCTTTCCCATCTCTGCCCACCTGGACACTTGGTACAGCATCAACATAATCCAATGGGCAGGCAGTGTAGCTGTCATTCACAGGAGCTCCATCTTTCTCACTTGGTCTTGGAGTGCACCTTGACAAGTCACACTTGCTGCTGAGTCATCAAGACGGATTTGGCATGCCATCCTGTTGTCCAGCAACCTCCCTGTTGGAGCTGGCTCAAGTGGTTTCAGCTGCGGTGCTGAAGGAACCCAGAATGCCAATTTTGGCTGACTTTAATTTCCATGCTGAGGCTACCTCTGGAATCCCAGCTCAGGATTGCGTAGCCTCCACGATAACCACAGAGTTTTTTCAGCTTGTCACTATGCCAACATATGAAGCAAAGCATACCCTTGATTTGGTCTTTGCTCCAAGGTGAGCAGTAAGGTGAGTAGACTGAAAATTGCAGAGGAGGAGGCAACCTCATTGTTAGGAGCAGACCATTTCCTGGGGCGCCGAACTCAAGGAGTTATTTATGTTCCATGATGAAGCAGGGGGCTGGGATTTGGATGGTTTTTCCCATTAGACTGATGAAATCTTACCGATTTCAGAAAGCTCTTGGGCATTTTCAGCAGAGAGCCAAGACCCTCAGTGTTCCATAATGAGACATGGAGGGCCACTGATACCATTGTACCCAATTGCCTTCTGCAGTACTATAGAACCTGCCCTCCTCCTTGTTCTACTGGGGAGCTGTGGCTGGTGAAACAGGCTGGACACTGACTAGAGCAAAATGGAGTAAGACTCAAAGGCAAGATAAGCATACTCTAGGGAACATGATCGTGTCTCTTATTTGGCAGTGTGGGCAGTGAAAAGGCTTCACTTCACTGCTCCATTGTAGCTACAAGCAGCTACTCACTGCTTTCTCAGGTGGTCTAGGGGCTGGCCAACAAATGGGGCCCTGGTCCTCTCTAAGACCCACTGTGACCCTTTTTCCTGGCACTCTGGGGACAAAATTGCTCACTGCAAATAACACTTTTGTTATTGCAGCTCAGTGGAGGTCTTGGTGCTACCATCTACTTAATTTTTTGAGATTAATTTTAGTTGCAGATGCCTGATGATGTGGACAAGACACTTACAACTCTGCACCTGACCACATGGCCTCTCAATTTTTACCCTTACTTCCTAATAAAAACTAGCTGAGAGGACATGACTGCACAGGGCCAGGAAATTGTAAATCCATCACTAGGTGAAGGATTGGTTCCTAACTATCCTTCAGGAGGCAGTAATGGAAGCACTTCTGGAGAAACCTGATAATATCTTACAATTGCTGCCCAGTTGCAAATCCCCCTTTCTTATAAAAATTTCTTGACAAAATTGTTGACAGGCAGTCTTGGAGACTACTGATTATTGGTATTTGATGCCTTCTAAACACTTCATTTCAGGAAGATGTCCTTGAATGACCAGCCATGTTTTTATTGATTTGTTTTAAATATATGGTTTTGTCATTTTACTCTGTTTTTTAGTTGTTTAGTGCTCCAAAATCTATACTCATCTGCTTTAAATATGTTCATAAAGAGAAAAATCATAAGGCAATGTTTGAAAGGTTAACATATTTTTAAATAATGCAACTAAAGGCAATACAATTTAGGGAGGTAATAGTCAATGAATACTAAATCTCAAAAACATTGGCTTTTGTATAATTGCATTTAATCCTGGTTTTTCAAGTTTAGAGAACTTGTACTGAGAGATACAACTCAGTTGCTGTTTGATTCAGGGCCAGTTCAGATGGCTGTTCCTATTTATCCTATATTTATATTTATTTATCCTCTCTCTTTCTCCCTCCCTCTCTCTCTCCCCACCACCCTCCACACACACAGACACAGACACACACACAGACACACACACACACACAATCTCCATCCACTTGGCTGATTTGTAAAGGAGTAGACACTGGTGTATTTGTTATGCTTTTTTGATACATCAGGACAAGCCCCTGATCTTTTGAAGATGGTATCAGTATTACTGCTGTTTTGCCAGGATCAGACCTTAGTCAAAGTCTGACTAGGTAGGACTGGTTAAACCTAGCATATCCAGGTAGGACTGGAAAAAATCCTGCCTGAAACTTTAGAAAGCAGCAGCTAGTCAGTGTCCATCACACTGGGACAAGGGTATGACTCATTATAGAGAGGATTCCTGAGTTCCTGCATTCCATGGGGAACTGACTTGCACATAAACTGGTTAGAGCAGTGATGGCAAAACTTTTAGAGACCAAGTGTCCAAACTGCAACCCAAAACCCACTTATTTATTGCACATTGCCAACTCTGCAATAAAACCTGAAAGCTGAGGTCTTAGTTTAGAAAAAACAGACAGTCCAAGCAAAAATATATATCATTGGCAGCGCACTGACCAGCCATGCAAAAACTCAGATGAGTCAGGGCATGTGACGTCATCGCTGGGCGCTGCTACTCCTTTCCGAGCATGTGCATGGCCCCTGTGTGTGTTGTTATCTGATGGTCAGCTGCTGGGGCGAGGCTGGGGCGACTTGGCTCACATGCTGACAGAGAGGGCTCTGTGTGCCCGCTGTAGCACGCCTGCCATAGGTTCGCCACTACTGGCCTAACCCTACCCAGCTGCACTCCCCTAACCTTAATATAGGGGTAATGTACCATTGAAAGGGATGATTTTGAAAAAATCCTTCCTTGAGTTGCTTTTTCTACACAGCTCATCATTCCGGCCCATTCTAAACACACTCCAATCATCAAAACCATGCCAGGACACCTCGTTTTTGTAACCCTACCCCTACCCTGGTGCACAACCCTAACCCTAATATAGGGCTAAAGGTCCATTGAAAACACCCCTAACCCTAATATAGGGGTAAAGTTCCATTGAAAACAATACAATTTTGAAAAAGCCTTCCTTGAGTAGCTTTTTCTACACAGCTCATCATTTCTGCCCATTCTAAACACATTCCAACTATCAAAATCATGCCAGGACACCTCGTTTTTGTAACCCTAACCCTACCCTGGAGCACACCCCTAATCCTAATATAGGGTGAAAGTCCCATTGAAAAGAGGGCAATTTTGAAAAAGCCTTCCTTGAGTAGCTTTTTCTACACATCTCAGCATTTCTGACCATTCTAAACACATTCCAACCATTAAAAACATACCAGGACACCTCATTTTTCTAACTTTAACCCAGTAATGGTGAACCTTTTAGAGACCAAGTACCCAAACTGCAACTCAAAACCCACTTATTTTTTGCAAAGTGTAAACACTGCAATAAAACCTGAAAACTGAGGTTTTAGTTTAGAAAAAACAACTTACAGCCAGTCCAAGCAAATATATATCATTGGCAGCACACTGACCAGCCATGCAAAAGCTCAGACGAGTCGCAGTCAATGAGGCGTGGTTTGTGACACCATCACCTGGCACCACTACTCCTTTCCGAGCATGCGCATGGCCCCTGTGTGTGCTCTTATTTGATGCTTGGCTGCTGGGGCGATGCTGGGGTAACTTGGCTCATGTGCTACAGAAAGGGCTCTGCATGCCCGCTGTGGCACTCGTGCTATAGGTTTGCCACCACTGGGTTGGATTTTGGCAAAGCACAATAAGTCCACATTTCCATCAGAAACAGAAGCCAAAATCCTGCTCATGTGCATGTCAGAGCAGTCCTGTGATCATCTCCATACAGCAACATCCATCCAGTAGCATCAATACTGGGAAGCAGCCGTGCCAATTGTCCCTCAGTATAGCGAGCAAATACAGCAGTTCAACTTTTTTTTAAAGAGCAGTGTCTATTGTTCATTAATATGCCAGAGGTTTAATCAAAAACTAAGTTAGCTAAAGGGAAACGTTATGCAAGCTTAATTTGCAAAAGCATATTAATACATACTCAACTTTAAATCAGACTAAAACATTTCCAGAAGCAACCAATCTTACACTGAGAGCTGCAGATAGAAAAGAGTATGTACAAAAGTCAACTTGCAGATTCACTTATAATGAATGAAAGATGAAACCCTTAATAGAACTTACCAGGAACCTGATGGTGTGGGCAGAATTTCTCCAGGCTGAAAACTTCTGCCTTTATAATAACACCGGCAACTAGCCCTGATAAAACAGAATTTATTAAGATACAATGACATTCTTTATCCTATCCTAATTGCAGAAGTAAACATATCCTTTGATATCACCACTGACTTGCCCATTACTTCCTACAATAAGCATTTGACTTCAGTTAAGACTTGTGGCTTCATTTTAGAGATACATTTGAAAAGATTGTGTGTGTTAATGTGTGCATTTCTTAGAAAGAAAGCTTCCTCTCTATTCACAGACAAATTATTAGCACCACTGTTATTAAAATGCACTGTGTGGTTAACAATCTGTTGGCCACTGTAATGATTATTTTAAATATATAGCTATACATTTTATAAAGAACTGATGGGAAAGGATCATCCAACTATGGGACATGATTCACCCTCCCATAAGCAGCAGTGAGGTAGCAAGTCTCAGGACACTATTTTGACTTGCCCTAAAAGGACAGAGTGCTGGGCTGGGACTCAGAAGATCTGGGTTCTAGTCCCCAGTCAGCCATAAAACTCACTGGGTGACTTCAGGCCAGTCACTGACTCTCAGCCCAACCTATCTCACAAGGTTGTTGAGAGGATGAAATGGGCAGCTGCCACAGAGACATAGAAGCTGCCCTGAGTTTCTTTTAAGAGCAAAGGGGTGCGAAAAAAATGAAATGAGAAAAGTTAAGACGTGTCAGTTATTTTATTACATTCTTACCTACCTGGAGAAAGCATGAATGGCTTTTCTGTCTCATTAACGCAAACACCTCCAGGCAGGTGTAAGACAGGATGCCAACCAGCATCAGCATCTCAGTAAATGTGCATGGTTTATGGCTTGTCAGTTTTCATTCATACTCAGAAACTGACCGAGAACCATGTTTTTCCCCAGTTTGTTATTGGTGTTGGAGGCCTCTAAGAGATCATACAGTCTGAGTTACCAATGGCACTACAGACATTTGACTAAGGTGCCCCTGCTCCCAACTCATGCTGTACTTTGATGCAGCTTGTATCAGATGAACTATGCAAAGCTGGGAAACAGATTGCCAAGGAGTCCCATTCTAGCACTATGGTTTTAATAGCACTGCGAGATAATAAGGAAAACATCCCTAATGCTAGAGCTAAGATATATTAAAAACAACAATCACACTGCAATTAAAAGGAAATTTAATGTAGCTGCTTACATTGGCACACAAAAGTTGATAGATTCATCAAAGTATTTTCCATCAGGGCAATTGCATCCTTCAGCACAGTCATGACTGCAAACATCCGGAATAGAATGGGAAGAGCAGGAACGCTCACAAAAAGAAGCACATGGGTGATACAGCATACCACTTCTGCACACTAATGCTGTGAAGACAAGATATATTGATTGTACATAAATAAATTACATGCCCAGCCATCAGGGTGCAGTCATCTTCTTAGACAAAATGGCCTGTGATTTGGGGGCAAGTTATATGAATGAGGTGTCTCCCAGGAGAAACACGCAAAATTTCAGAAGGATGGGTATGCCCTAGATTGGAGTAGTTTTGTGATATCTTAAATGATTTGCCTCTCAGTATAAACAGACTAGCTGGTAAATTTCAGGTCCAGGCTACATTCAGCTTTATTTACTGGCTTAATCAAGGAGGTAGAGGAATCTGGATATTTAAGGACATGCTTAATGTTCAGCAAAGGTATCACTAATCAGGCAGATTTGGGAACATGCACAGTATGAGCTTTTGCTTTGATTTGTAGAATGGGGACATCCCAATAGCTTTTCAATTATTTGCAAATCATTCTGTGTTTGGTAACTTACCACAATATGAGACATGAGATCTGAACTCAATAGTAATTCCATGCTTGCTGCATACATAAGCATAGTGTGCAAGTGCATTGCACAAACAGCTGCTCCCACATTTGCAAGCATCAAAGCGGCACAGCTGGTAGTATAATTCTGGACTGACGTAGACATGACACGGAGCGAAAAGTTCTTGATTGATGAGATCACACTGGGATGCATACCCAACTAAGGAAAAGTAACATTTGGCTTGTAGCAACGCTGATGCTGTTGAAGCACTGGTTGTCACTTAAGAGTGAGAATATACACCACACCAAAATTGCAGACTGGTCGAACTTATTTCATGCAAATATAAGGGTAGAGAACTCACTCCATGGACCTAAACTGACACAAGTCAAAGAAACTAAGAAGTGTTTAATTGGCATTTAAATCACTGGAATTTAAACAAAGAAAGAGATTATCTTTACAAAAATACTAAAGGACAGATCTAAGTTAACTGTCCCAAATAGTATTTAGGTATCAATAAAGCATATACAATGGGAAAAACTATGGTTTAGCAATGGGATTATGGATGAAGCTAAATCGAATTTCCAAAGTAAAAATGCACCATTTTGTTGATTAATGTTGCAAGGATCAACCACAGGGATGTTGACAGGCACATGACACACGGATGAAACCTTCCATGCATTGCCATGAAGCTGCGGAGTTCCTTCAATCATTCCTGCTGGAGAACTGGGTGGGTGGATGGAAATAAGCATGATTAAACAAAAGAATCAGACCACCTAAGAAGTCCTGTCACCAAGAACACACTGTTTATGTACCCCAGTATCTTCTAGAATGTGTCTACATGGGCGACAGCTGCGATACCAGATCACTGCTTCTGTGCTACACTGGAACTACAGGATCCAATATTCAAACAAAGGAGGTGTCAAACTGTGCCCAGCTCACCATGTGCTGACCCTCTGCTCTCTCAGACTGTTATCTTGACTAGTGAGCACTGGCACAGCTGCCATATGTCTTGGCAGAATCGATGCTGTCAGACTTTTCCCTTTGCAACCATATCCATGCACACATGAAGTATTCCTTCTGAAATACCTCTACTGCTTTTTTTCTGCCACATTAAGAGAATAGCCTGAAAGATGGAAATTTTCAAATTCACCTCAGATGTAATTAAAATTTGTTATAAGCAAGAAGTCCACATTTGAATACAAACTGATTCTTTTCCAGTTTTCCAAAAGAAGTCATACTATGTAGAAAATATAACAGGCTTTCATGGATTTTCTGTCAAAGGTGGGAGGTGGTGATGGTCTAATATGAGTGTTCTATACGTGGCAGAGTGTGTACATAAAGCATTTGTGTCCATGAAAATATTTATATTCCTAAAAGTATTATTCAGGATTATTGTTTTTTACAAAGTAAAATTTCAGCATTGGCTTCTAGGATACCGAGAATGCTGCAAGCTGTTAATTTTGTTCAATTTATGCCTCTTCTCTATTGTTCTGCTATGCATTCTGGGATCACATGACAGCATCTTCATATTGGCAATTACCATATGGTAAGGCCTTGTGAAAAGGTGATAAAGAATTTACATACTTCTAGGGACAAGCCAAGGGAAAGGTGATAAAGGGTTTATATAATTCCAGTTATACTGCCAGAATTTATAATTCCACAGACTAGCCAAGAAAAAAAGGGCTTAAGCAGTCTCCATCCCAAATTATTAAGCTTACTATTTGGGTTGCATGGGTGGCTAAATTTAGCTGGCTAGATGTACTAATGCATTCTGCATCTTAGTGCTTGGTTTATTTTATGACTGGTTTTAATACACATAATTTTAAGCATGTGTTGAGTAGAAAACTAAACAACTGAGTAATGAAGTAATTGCATAAATCAAACTTACAGAAAATCATCTCGCAAGTTTCCATTATAAGTTCCACACAGACCCAGAGTTCTTTCCTTCCACTCAGTAGAGAGTTGAATATACACTCTCTCACCATCTTTAGCAAACTGGATTCTTAAACCAAATTTAGTTTTCAGCTGTACAAACAATGAAGACAAATTCTGCACTTCCACATATCCTATGCATAACAGGAGGCAGAAAAAAAATCAACAAACAAAAATCAAATAGTTATTCAGAACTGTAAGACTGCATACATATAAATATGAGATCCTGGGGAGAGTTCCAAATGGAGTAATAGGTAGAGGTGATTTCATGCAATTCATTCATCTTTCTACAGCTCCATGACCTCTATAATGTTGGGGGGACCCTCCAGAGCAGCATGGGAGATGGCATGGATAATGCAGGGGAAGGGGAAATGAACAAAATCTCTTATACCTGCTTTCTCTAGCATGGGATTTTCATGAATGACAGGAACACTCCATTGCAAGGTCAAGTCTGCACCCAAGTCATGTATACCTTTGAATTATATGAAGGGAATTGCAGTTCCATGTCCATTGTTTCACTCTCTCTTCTGGGGTACTCACACATGATAAACCCTCTTCACATGGCAGAGAGGCCAAACAGTATTTCAGACAAATTATTTTATCATTCAAAATCTTCAGCTCATATTATTTTTTTATTTATTCATTCATTCTATTTGTATGCCACCCCACTAGTCATATGCTCTCTGAGCCACTCACATCATTAAAATCCATACAACAGGCATAATATAAAGCACTCAAGACACCCATGTTAACTGCAGATTGAATTTTTGGATGCAGAAACTTTGCAATCATTATCCCATTTATCAACAACACCAAAGAACTGAAAATGGTGGCAACTTTCTCCAAACCTTGTTGGAGCTTCCTAAGAAGTGGGAAGTTGGGGTAAGGTGGGTTAGTGATTGCCCAGAAGGGCTCTGTGGTTAACCCAGTTTAAAGTGACATACACTTTAAATAGAATATTGCCTTGCAGCTAATTTCTGTGTAGCATCTTCCAGAATGGAATATGTTGAAATGCTTTTACAAGGAAGGCTCCTGACAAGGTGCCCAAAGCATGATATATCAATTAACTGTGACAAGAGAAACCTATTTCATGTATTTCTGCATTCACATATGGAACTTCAGAAATGTGGGGGCCAACTACCAAATTCAGCTCACATGATGAGTGAAATCTGTATGCTAATCATTCAATGCTGAAAGCATAATGTATCAGTTAACTGTAAAAAGATAGGCTCAGGGCTACAGAACTTGCTTCATTTCATGCATTTCTGCTTTCACATGGAGAATTCCAGAGATGTCAGCCAGCTACCTAATTCAATTCAGTTGATGAGTGAAGTCCATATACCAATCTATCAATGCCTTCAACTATTTAACTTACCCTATTTTTCAGCTGCAAAACTGAACAAGAGTTTTGTGAAGCAGAAAGTTTTAATTTGTCCGTAAAGTAACAGTACCTCATTTTTAGAATAATCTAACTCACCTTTTGTCTGAGTATAAGGGAATACATGTGAGCACATGCACGCTTCAGTGTCAATGTTTGTTTTCATAGAACACAGTTTGATTAGAACATTATTATAGAATCTATTGCTTGGGAATATGAATGGGGAAAAGGAAATATCAACTGCACTGGTAATGTGGAGCAAGTACCTTACCATTTAGGTTAAAGCCCTGGCTGGAGGAACCATATTGAACTTCACCAGCTCGGTTCAAAGTCACTTGCTTGTTTATGTCATCTTCAAGAACCAGTGTTACAGACTGAATGCAGACATGATCAAGGTTCTGGATGAACCAAAAAGGTGGTTGTGCCCCAAAAGAAAAGGAAAGATACAAGCAAACTGTTAGTAATCTCCGTTACAGCTTTCAGCTTCTTTTTGCCAAGGGCCCAATTTAATTTTGGAGAAGCTCTCAGAAGCCATATTCTGAGGCATGGATGGGGCAAAGGCAAAAAGAAAAGGGTCAAAACTATTTTTAAATACCTGCATATTGTGGCTTAAAGATTTTACTACCAGTAACTAAGCTTCAAGGGAGGCATTTCAACCTTTTAGAAGCTGTACAAAACTCCACCAAACAAGAAGGCACTGGGTATAAGAGGGAGGAGCCAGGAGAAGGTGGCATGGCTTCCTGGGGAATAGGAATTCTTATCAGGGCTGAATTTGCCCCTGGGCCTGAAGTTCCCTGTTCTTCCAGAACATTCTGTGTTGGTCAACATTCCCTGAAATGTGTGTTTCTACAGGAAATAGGGCAATAGGCTGTTTGCTACCATTAACTGTCATGTGCCCCTCATAACACATCTGTAGGTTAGACAGGGGGAGACAGTTACCACATAACCCACACTTAAGGGATTTGTATGCGTTGACTGTGGGTTGCTATTGAACTCTGGCAGTTGTTGAAATG